CCCCCCATTTTACAGATGGAGGAAACTGAGGCACAGAGAGGTGACGTGACTTTGCCAAGGTAATTGTGGGGCAGACAGGAACGGAGCCTCCCCCCACCCCCCGCCAAAATCCTCCCAGCCTGGGGCTCAGCCCTGCTCTCAGCACGGGGGTGCCCCCCTCACCTCCGCACAACCCAGAAGCCCCCGCACCCTGTCCCCAACCGCCACCCCCACACCCAGAGCGGGGGTCCACGCCCATTAGACCCTCCCTCTAACCACACTCAGGGCTCCTGGTTCCCTCTGTCCCTTGCTCCCTACCCAGGTCTACTCCAGCCCCCCCAGTGCATCCCACTCCCCCCCAGAAAAAGCCCTCCTGGAGGGTGGGGCTCAGCACCCACCGACCGGGGGGGGGGCAGGGGGGTCCCGGGGGGCTCCAGCCTCACGCCAGCACAGTGAACGCAGGAAGTTTATACAGGGCTTTACAGAACAAAGCTACTGAAATCAGCCACACGATGGCCAGACATAACGGGGCCCCCCAAGACCCCCCCSCACCCGCTATTCCAGGGGGTGGGGGAGGGACGCAAGGGGCCCTGTGCTCCCCCAAGGCCCCCCACCCCATTATTCACTGTCCAAAGAGGTAGGGRGGGGGTGACAGAGGGGGACCCAAGGGTGTCCCCCAGCCCCCCACCCCATCACCCTCTGGCCAAGGTGGGGAATGGTGGAGAAAGGGGAGCTGGGGGAAGGCCCATCCCATCACCCACTGTCCAAAGTATAGGGGTGGTGACAGAAGAGGACCTCTGGGTGCCCTCCAAGCCCCTCACCCCATTACCCACTGTCCAAGGAGGTGGGGGGGGAGACGACAGAGGGTAACCCCCGCCCCAATCACCTGCTACCAGGGGCAGTGGGAGGTGACAGGAAGGGACCTGGGAGTGTCCCCTCGTCTCCCTGCACTGCTATCAGGGGCAGGGGCGGGGTGACAGAATGACCCCTGGGTACCCCCCAGCACCCCCTGCTCCTCAGCTGCTCTCCGAGGTGGGCTGGGGACTGTCGGGGCCTCGGCGAGGGCCCCGGCTGGGAGTGCAGGGGGCGGTGGCAGAGCAGAGGCGAGGGGGCCACGGTCCGAGCAGCTCCCGCTGCTGCTGGCCCAGGGCTTGGCTGACGAGCCCCGGCAGCGCCAGCAGGCTCAGCCCCAGCGCCTCCAGCTTGCTTTCCAGCGCTCCCAGACGCTTCTCCAGGTCCTCGTGGCGCTCCTGCAGCTCTGACACCATGTCGTACATGATGTTCTGGGTCTGGAGGGGCACATTTGGGGGGATTAGGGGTGGATCTCCTCCTCCTCCCCCAAGAGGTCACCTCAAAGCAGCCCCTCTCCAGGCTCACCTTGGCCAGGTCCACCAAGGTGTTGGCCTGGTCGTTGAGCTTCCGCTGCTCCATCTTCACACTCCTCAGCCTGGGGGGACATTGCAGGACACCCTCAGGGTTGGTGATCCCCCCATGAGCCCTGTCATCCCCCTGAGCACCCTCACCCAGCCATGAACCCCCTCACTCCCCCCCATGCAGCCCCTCAGCCCCAAACATGCAGCCCCGCCAAGCAAGTGCAGCCTCAGCCCCTCCACCCCAAAACAGCCCCGGGGGGGGTCACACCGAGCTGTGGGGTGTCCCCCCCGCCTCAAACTTGGTAGCCAGAGCCCATGCAAAGCTGGGGGGGGGCACGGAGGGGGACACTTACTTCTGAGCTCTGCAGGGACAGGGGAGAACAGAGACAAAACACAGGTTTAATTCCAAGGGGACAGCAGRGCAGCACCACCCCTCCCGCCCCAAAAAGGACCCTGCGTCCAAGCCAGGCCATCCCCCATCACACCCCTACACCCCACCCCAAAGCAGGAGGTACCGGGGGGGTCACCCCTCCACTTCTGCTTCCCCGCTGCTGGATGAGAGATGTGGTCACAGTCATGTCTAAGGTCATTAACTGGGGATCCCCGAGGTCACCCTGGTGGGATTGGGGGCCCCATGGGCTGGGAGAGGGTACCACAGGGACAGGGGACAGCAGAGGTGGGGGACAAGGACAGAGGATGGGAGGGGAGGGCTGGGAATGGAGGACAGGGATGGAATAGGGGATGGGGACAGCGGATGGAGGACAAGCACAGGGGGCAGGGCATGGGGACAGGGGACAAAGACAGGAGATGGGGGACAGGAACAGGGGACACGGATGGAATAGAGGTTGGGGACAGTGGACTGTAGGACAAGGACTGGACAAGAATGGGATAAAGGAGAAGACCAGGGGACAAGAACAGGAGAGCGGGCCAGCGAAAACTGGGGACAGGGTGACATGGACAGGCAACAAGTGACCAGGCCATGGCACAGGGACCACCTGGCTCCCACCCTGGGGGCTCCAGAAGGGGTGGGAAAACCCCAGGCATTCCTGATGGGAACAAACACCTCTGCGCTGGGTTCCTGGTAGGAAGCAGGAAAAGGTTTGGCACTTACTGATGGATGGCTTGGAGGAACTTACGCTGGTGTTTCCGAACTTTGGCATGGTCGATCTTCTTCACCAGCTTGGTGTGTTTGTAGATGAGCCACGTTTCCCTGAGTACATTGGCAGCAGCATTTTTCACCTGGAAGCCGACAAATCCCAGGAATCAGACATGGATGAGGATGGGAAGGGGCTTTTCCTGCTTTTCTGAGGGAGGATCCAGGGGGTCTYACCCGCTTTGTGAGCTGCGTGTCCATCATGAAGTTGTGGACGTGTTTCTCTGCTTTGGTGAGCTCCAACTTCCGGGCCACCACGGCCACCACCAGGGCGGTGCAGCCAGCACCCTGCAGCCATGAGGACAGTGCCAGGGTGAGGGCAGGGGACACCCTGAAATGGCTCTGTCCCCTTCCCGCTGTCCCTGTGCTCACCATGATGCCGGTGAGCAGGCACACGCCCTTGCCGCAGTAGGTGTGTGGCACCATGTCCCCGTAGCCAATGGACAGGAAGGTGATGGAGATCAGCCACATGGCCCCCAAAAAGTTGCTGGTCACCTCCTGCTTGTCGTGGTACCTGCCCAAGGCCGAGTGCAGCCGTTGTGACCACTGTCACTGACGTCACCGCAGGCATTGAACCCTCCCCACCATGTGGCCACGCAGTGCCACCATAGATTTGGGGCGTCGTCTCCAAGTTGGCAGATGTGCCCCAAAGGAATTGGAGACATCATGGGAATAACAAGCACATCTCCCGGCCAGGCTGTGTCCCTCTGGGAAAGGGGCTGGAGCAGGATGGAGACATGCACGATGGCAGTCCCCAAAAGCACAGGACACCATTGTCACTGTGGAGCTCCCACCCTTGGGGGGCCACCCCAAGGTCACCGTGGGTGACACTGGGAGGGCAGTAGGGGACACCATGCTCTGAGATTCTGATGTCACAAAGACGGACCGCGGTGCCATCCACCCCTCCCCAAGGGACCCCCGTCACAGGGTGGGGAGGGACACACGAGCCTGGCCAGGAGACACGGAGCAACTGCCAAGCTGGGCAGGGGGATGGGGACATGCAGGGAGCAGGAGGGAGCCAGGAAAATGGAATGGGGAGACAGGAAAATAGGATGGGAGCCAGGAAAATTGAATGAGAGCCAAGAAAATGGCATGGAAAAAGGGAAAATGGGATGGGGAAAGGTAAAATGGGGTGGGGAAAAGGAAAAGGGGACACGAGAGCAAGCTGGGGTGGAGATCTCAAGCATCAGGAATTTAGGATTGCTGCACCCCAACCCAGCCCTCCAGCCCCAGCACAGTTTGGGCTTGGAACCTCATCCGTCACCGAGGGACATGGCAGGGACATGGCAGGGACACCCTGGAGCAGGCAGATGTGGGGACCACAGCAGGGAGGTGGCAACCAGTGTGCCACCGCAGGGTGACGTTTCCCAGGACCTGCAGAGTTCTCCATTCCCAAGGAGCAGCCGGGATTCCCCCAGGCACCCAAAACATGCGGGGTCAGAAGGGGAAACGTGAAGGAAACAAGGTCAGAAAAACCCTTTGGAGACCCCAAAGACTCCACTTGAAGCAGGAAGGAGCCAGCAGCTCCTTCCCAGCTCCTTCCTGGGGTTTCCCTTTTCCAGGACCCCTCTGAAAGTCCTCCAAAAGCCACCACAGAAATGCCCGAGCTCCGCCCCCTCCATGAAGGGAATGCCACCCCAGCTGGGAGATACGCGGGGGTGGSGGGGAACAGGAAGCATCTGCTGAGGTTCCAAGTAGAAAAGGGCTCCAGCCCCTTTCTGTGTCTTCCCCAGCCCCCCTCCAGCTGCAGCTAATCCTAAATTCTGGGCAGCATAAGCCTGGGGCAGGGGACGCCCCGTGCAGGATGCGCTGGTGGTCCCTGGGGTCACTCACAGTTTGTCCCTGCAAGCAGCAGAGCGGGCAGGGAGGGAAAACAAGAGCGGTTAATGCATGGCCCCCAGGGCGAGGGGCAGGGGGCAGCCCGGGGCGAGCACGGGCAGGGACAAGGCAGGGACATCCTGGTCCCAGGGTCCCGCAGGGAGCAGCAGAGGAGCACGGGCACATCCTGCCAGGTCTCCTCGGTGGGATCCCCAGGTCCTCATACCCCTCTGGGTCCCCCAGCTCTGCAGACTCCTCTGCAGGACCCCCAATCCCTTCCCAGTCCCTTCAATAGCCCTAGCTCCTTGGTCCCCTCTGTGGCATCCCCAGCTCCATCAGGACTGCAGAGAGGAGGAGTTGCCCCATCCCAGGGGGATATGGGGGAGCTTGGGAAAGATCCGGTCCCACCCCCTCCTTGCCCTGACAAACAGATTTAATTTGGCAAAACCCCAAAGCTCCCACCAGAGGGGTCTGTCCACACAGTGGGGGTCTCTACCCACCCCTCAACCCCCCCAGGGTGTGCCTGGTGCATCCTCAGCTGCCCCCCCCCAGCCCCGCACCGCCCCTACTGGACCCCTCCCCATTACCTCTCGCAGACGCGGACAGTCCAGGCGGCGATGATCCAAGAGGAGATACTGAAAACCAGGAGCACAGTGCCGGGGCAGATGGTCATGAGGGTCTTCATGACAAAGCGGGTGTTGAAGTTGATCTTGTTGAGGGCGCCAATGCTGCGGGATGAGGCGTCGGTGAAGAGTTTGCTGTGCAGRAGCATCACGCGGCCAATCAAGTAGAGCCGCAGGAACATGGGGATGGACAGGATGATATCCACGTCAGCGTCGGCCACCGAGGCGGCGTAGGTGAAGGCCAGGCGTGCTGTCCAGGTGAACAGGTACTGCCCGGGGATGGGGTGGATGGCGCACACGATCAGTTCCAATGCAATGAAGAAGATGCGCTCGTAGGTCATGGCGATGCGCCAGTCGTCGGCGCCGTTGTCCACCATGAACAGCTGAGGGGTTGGGGGTGGGGGGCAAAGCAAGGCTGGTGAGAACCCCAGCATGGCGACAGGATGTTGGTGATACTACCCCCCAGCGCAGGTGGCCCTCACCTGGATCTCCCTGGCATGGTACATGACGATGAGCCCCAGCAGGATGAGGGTCGAGAGGCTGATAAGGCATTTCAGTGCAAACGAATATGACGACTCCTGCCAGGGGAGGGGTGCACCGTGAGCCTGACCAGAACCCCCAGCCCCCCAACCCTCTCTCACCACCTCCCCAACCTTGGTGTAGACCCCCCAGGACAGCTCCGTCTCGGTGACCATGACCACGATGCCGAACATGCCGAAGATCAGGGCATAATCACTGAGGCGCTTGCGTTTTTCGAAGAGGGCTCGCCGGTGGCCCAGCTTGTAGCCGATATTCTGGTTTCTCCGCGGTTCCCCTGCTTGCTCCTCGGCCGCATCCTGCCCTGGAGGGGCTGCTGTGGGGCTGGGATCCGCCCCCACCGGCTGCTCCGGCTGGGAGACCACCACCTCGAGGCCTGGGGATGCACAGGGGCGCAGAGGCTGCGTCTCCCCCTCCAGTGGCTGCAGGGTGCGGGTGGAGGCGCTCAGGGGGCCCCGGGGCCGTGTCACCCCCCCATTGTAGCGGCAGCCGCTCATGGCTCTGGCGGGGATGGCGCCGGGTGATCCCACATGGCTTAGCGGTGCGGGGGCGACCTGCGGGATAGGAGACAGACAGGGGACAAGTGGGTGGCAGGGGGGACGGGGGAGCTGAGATTCCCGGCCTTGTCCCACCCGGTCTCAGATGGTGCTTCCCAGCGCAGGGTGATGGCCTCGACGGTGGTGGGGACATGTCCTGCCCGTGGGGATGTGTCCTGTCATGGGGGACGTGTCCTGCCCGCAGGGCACCCGCTGTTACCACAGGTACATGTCCCGCTCACGAGGGGGCCGTGTGGTGCTCGTGGGGGACGTGCYCGTGTCCTGCCCGTGGCGGGGACACACAGTGACCACAGGTACGCGTTCCTGCCCACGGCAGACGTGTCCTGCCCGAGGGGACACGTCCTACCGGTGGGGACGTGCCCGTGCCCATGTCCTGCTCGAGGCGACACGTCCTGCCCGTGGGGACGTGCCCGTATCCTGCCCACGGAACTGTGTCCTGCCCCCGCCGTGCCCCCAGCTGCGGACACGGCCGCCACAACGCGTCCACTCCCCCGCTGTCCCTCGGCGCCGTCCCATGTCCCCTCCCCACGGCTGCGGGACGGCTCCGGTCCCGAGCCGCAGCTGCGCGTCCCCGCCGCTCCCGAGCTGCCAAGCGCGCCGTGCCCGGGGCTCCCGGGTGGGCTACTGTACCGCTCCCCCCGCCCTTGGCGCGGTCCTGCCGTGCCCGGTACCTGCCGTGCCCGGGGCCCGGGCCGGGTCCCGCCGCTGCCGCCGCCGCC